ACCCACATCTCTTCCAAACTGTGAAATCCCTATTGTTATCACCGGGATATTTTCATTTTATCAAAAAGGTGATGGATTTCATATCCAGAAGATAATGATAGGAGATGAATGATACTTTAAAAAATCAACCTTAGTCTTGAATGTTGAGTTGCTATGGACACCAGCTTAAAATGAGGTCTTTAGATGGCATAGAATTGCTTAGGACTCTACCATCACCAGTTTTATTATTGAATCCTGTTTTATAATGAACTGTGTTTTATTAGGTCCCATGGAACAAGGAAGACTCTCCCTCCATGCTTCCTGGGAAGTATACTGGAGCAGGACAGGGCACAGGGAATGTGGGGCAGGGTGGGGGCTGCTGCACCCTGAAGCACTGCCAGGTACAAGGCATTGTCTAGACCCCTGATGCTTGTGTACCAAAGGAAATGATCTGAAAAGTGCCTTCAACCCATCAAGACCGCTGAGCAAGTTATCTGCTAGAGGGCCCTTACCTTCGTGGTCTAAAAGTATGACTTTAAAGTCTTTAGGCTTTAGTTCTAAGTAGCCTGGAGTGATTAAGTGTTGGGAAAATAAATTGGCAAAGCAGAGTATTACTAGAGAAGAGTGTGTGTTAAAGGAATGATCTCTCATGGAGATGTTAAATTCTCCATGGGAGGGACAAGTAAAAACTGGCATCCTTAAGACCAAGAGGTCTTTGACCGCCTTGGGAATGGCTGACCCCAGCCACTGAAGCTTTTTTGTTGTTGTTGTTGTAAATAATGTGTCACTATCGGTTTTTTCTAGTATATTCAATTTGTATTACTTCTTTTTAAACAAATGCAGTTGGGATAATGAATCCATTCTACTTGCACAGTGCTGGATGCCACGAGAAACAGGTATTACTATCCAGTGATTGTGTTCAATATTTGTCATTTTATAACCTCCCATGTAATAATTTTAAATGACTTTTTCCCCAAACAGTAATATTTGCCTCGGATGTAAGAATAAATTTTGACAAATTTCGAAACTGCATGACAGCAACTGTAATCTCAAAAACCATTATTACAACTAATCCAGGTAAAAAGCTTTCTGAAACCTTTTTATCCCTTTGGAAATGACTGGACACATTTCAATATTTATACAGTATATTTAAGACTGAAAATTCAGCCTGGATTTAATTCATATTAGAAGTACAAATTGCTTTATATAACTTTTTAAAAAACTTACGATGAACTTTGATATCTTTACTAAAGAAATGTGAGGCCAGGCCAGGCCAGGCCTGGTGGCTCGCGCTCATAATCCCAGCACTTTGGGAGGCTGAGGCGGGTAGATCATGGGGTCAGAAGACAGAGACCATCCTGGCCAACATGGTGAAACCCCATCTCTACAAAAATACAAAAATTGGCTGGGCATGGTGGCGGGCACCTGTAATCTCAGCTACTCGGGAGGCTGAGGCAAGAGAATTGCTTGAACACAGGAGGCGGAGGTTGCAGTGAGCTGAAATCACACCACTGCATTCCTGCCTGGCGACAGAGCAAGACACCAACTCAAAAAAAAATAAATAAATAAAGAAGGAAAGAAAGAAAAAGAAAGAAAGAAAGAAATGTGAAAAACCAGATTAATTTTTAAAGTATAATCCATTGTGATAATTTTTGAGGGATCAATCTTATTGCTTAGATGACCTAAATTATTGACTATTTAAAAAGTAAATTCAGTTTTGCTACATTCAAATAACTTTTACTGCTAGGACATAACATACACACACATACATAGAATTCTGTGTAGTATCATTAACTCAACTGCACATTAAATGCCCAGATGATACCCTGAAGTGGTTGTTAAAGAAGTTACAGTTGGCCAGGCACGGTGGCTCAAGCCTGTAATCCCAGCACTTTGGGAGGCCGAGGCGGGTGGATCACGAGGTCAAGAGATCGAGACCATCCTGGTCAACATGGTGAAACCCCATCTCTACTAAAAATACAAAAAAAAATTAGCTGGGCATGGTGGCGCGTGCCTGTAGTCCCAGCTGCTCAGGAGGCTGAGGCAGGAGAATTGCCTGAACCCAGGAGGCGGAGGTTGCGGTGAGCTGAGATCGCGCCATTGCACTCCAGCCTGGGTAACAAGAGCGAAACTCCGTCTCAAAAAAAAAAAAAAGAAGTTACAGTTTACTAAAGCATGAAATCAAGGGAGCCAGATCCGGGAGAATGAGGGGTTAGTGCCTGTGAGCATTCCCAGGGTGCTTTAGAGTGCAGATATAACCGTCAACCCAGTACTGGCAAAGAAATGGAGTAATCCTTTTCCATCTCAAGAAGCTGTGAGTATAGTATGTAGGGTATCATTTAAAGCATACAGTCACTCTGCTGGTCTGTGACAAAGCATCAGCAGTGACAGAATTATAAATAAAGCAATGTATGCTTGTGACCAAATGTATGCTTTTGACAGGATTTTTAAAAGAGAATTACTATGAGGAATGGTGTAAAATAACAAGGCTCTGGTTTTTTTTTTTTTTTTTTTTTTTTTTTTTTTTTTTTTTTTTTTTTTTTTTTTTTTTTGAGACAGAGTTTCGCTCTTGTTACCCAGGCTGGAGTGCAATGGCGCGATCTTGGTTCACCGCAGCCCCAGCTTCCTGGGTTCAGGCAATTCTCCTGCCCCAGCCTCCCGAGTAGCTGGGATTACAGGCGCATGTCACATGCCCAGCTAATTTTTGTATTTTTAGTAGAGACGGGGTTTCACCTTGTTGACCAGGATGGTCTCGATCTCTTGACCTCGTGATCCACCTGCCTCGGCCTCTCAAAGTGCTGGGATTATAGGCTTGAGCCACCGCGCCCGGCCAAGACTCTGGTTTTTATATAAGTACTCTGAATGTTGCACACCCATCCCATGGATGTTGTCTCCTTGAAGGCAGTACCACGGTAGGTGATGTGCATGCCCTGAATTGTTCTTCACAGAACTCAGTTACTGAGCACCTGCTGTGTGCTGGTTGCTGTTCTGGGGTCCATCAACAAAATGGACAAATATTTCCACCCTCATGGAGCTTACACTTCAGCAGGGAGAGATGGAGAATAAATAATGAAGATAATATGTTCGTGAATTATGATTTTTTTTTGAGATGGAATTTTGTTCTTGTTGCCCAGGCTAGAGTGCAATGGCACGATCTCAGCTCACTGCAACTTTTGCCTCCCAGGTTCAAGTGATTCTCCTGCCTCAGCCTCCCAAGTAGCTGGGATTACAGGCATGTGCCACCATGCCCGGCTAATTTTGCATTTTTAGTAGAGATGGGGTTTCTCCATGTTGATCAGGCTGGTCTCAAACTCCCGACCTCAGGTGATCCACCCACCTCGGCCTCCCAAAGTACTAGGATTACAGGCGTGAGCCAACCTGCCTGGCCGAATTATGAAATATTTAAGGAGAACAGGTGGAATAGAATCAGGAGGACCTAGAGAGCCACAGTATGTGTGATATTCCACAAGGTGGTTCAGGCGCGCTGCATGGGAGGGTGACATTTGAGCAAAGACTTGAGGAGGAGGCTAAAGGGTTAACCAATGGAAAGCCCTGTGCCTGCCTGTGGGAGGAACAGCCAGGGGCTGGTGTTGCTGGAGCAGATGGCGCTTGGGGGAGAGGGGCAGGAGCATTCTGAAAAGAGATGGAGGCACCCATGAAGAAGGCCTCACAGGCTGTTAGAGTGTGCTGGCTTCCACTCTGGACGGTGTAGCAGGTTGGGTTTGGAGCAGAGCAGTGACAGCATCTGACTCGGTTCTGAGAGGATCACTCTGACTCCTTTGTTGGAAATTGATGGTGACACACGATAGTCTGTTATTAACACTTAGGACAACAGCACTCTACTCTTCAATTTTTTTCTTTCTTGGAGGGGAGTACTATGGTTTATTATTAGACATAATTTATTAATAAAAATAGTTTATTATTATTATTTTTTTGAGACGGAGTCTTGCTCTGTCACCCAGGCTGGAGTGCAATGCCACAATCTTGGCTCACTGCAACCTCCACTTCCTGGGTTCAAGCAGTTCTCCTGCTTCAGCCTCCCAGCTTGTTGGGAGTACAGGTGCCTGCCACCATGCCCAGCTTATTTTTATGTTTTTAGTAGAGACAGGGTTTCACCATATTGGCCAGGCTGGTCTTGAACTGCTGGGCTCAAATGATCCTCCTGCCTGGGCCTCCCAAAGTTCTGGGATTACAGGCGAGAGCCACTGCACCTGGCCTATCATTCTTTTTTTTTAGATGAAGTCCCATTCTGTCACCCAGGCTGGAGTGCCGTGGCCCAATCTCGGCTCACTGCAGCCTCCGCAATTCTCCAGCCTCAGTCTCCTGAATAGCTGGGACTGCAGGCACATCCCACCACATCTGGCTAGTTTTTTGTATTTTTAGTAGAGACGGGGTTTCACCCTGTTAACCTAGGTGGTCTCAACCTCCTGACCTTGTGATCCACCTGCCTTGATCTTCCAAAGTGCTGGGATTACAGGCATGAGCCACTGTGCCCAGCCCGGCCTATTATTCTTACATTTAGGTGGATTTGTCTGATGGAAAAGTTGATTAAGCCTGACAGTACAATGGTATAGAAAACTCAAGCTCTAATTAATGAGACGTATTTTAGGGTGTTGTGCATTTGGCTCTGATGACAGATTCAAAGAAAAAATGTCAAAGTATTTTGAGCAACAATCAACATTATTAGAAAAGATGCCTTCTTGGCCCGGCGCAGTGGCTCACGCCTATAATCCCAGCACTTTGGGAGGCCGAGGCGGGTGGATCACGAGGTCAAGAGATCGAGACCATCCTGGTCAACAAGGTGAAACCCCGTCTCTATTAAAAATACAAAAATTAGCTGGGCATGATGGTGCGTGCCTGTAGTCCCAGCTACTCGGGAGGCTGAGGCAGGAGAATTGCTTGAACCTAGGAGGCGGAGGTTGCAGTGAGCCGAGATCG